GAAACAAGTAGTGTTTGATCTTCAGAAACAAATATTAAATGCAATCCAAAGGTATCTTCCTTTTGTTTCTACTGTTCAAAACCACTGAACTAAATAATGTAAATATTTACTGCTGCAAAACATCCTCATGGATGTCTAGCAGTGGAGGTTCATCTGGGAATGTTCAACTCATTGCTTCTGCAACAGCAGTCTCAATGGAGCAAAGGCTCTGTGACTCAAGGCAAGTAGGACTATGCAGGTGCACACTGTGCCCATATGAGGAACAGAGGAGAAGATACTGTTGAGCCAAGATGCTATCAAAGTATCTTCTACCTAGTGGATGATGGAAGGAGTACTTGGAACCAAGTCAGATCCTTGCAGAAGGTGGAAAACTACCTGTCAACTACACAGCTGAGAGTTCAGGCTCAAGAGACATGTCACCCACTCATAAATTCAGCACCTGTGTATTGAAGTATACAGTGTGCTATATACTGTCCCGTTACAAAGGTTGAGTCCACAGGTATAAATCACATTCTTGGTTCTGTCATCCAAACAAAAAATACATAACCTCAGCAGAACAGTTACTGTGATGGCTTCTGAAATAGTCTTGCTTACCTTGCCTTCCTTCATTGGCATTTCTTCCTTCACACTGGGTATAATTTTAAATGTAATAGCTCCTTGAGACTGAGCCTGGTGAACATTTGAAAAGAAAATGCACTGAGAATTAAGCTATACATTTCAAAGAAATCTTAGAAGATAAAGAAATTCAAATGAATTTCAAAGAATATGAGTCTATCCTCTCCTAAGCATGATCTCTGGGGTTTGATAGCTTGACTTAATCAAACTTTGTATTACAAAAATTAAAATACCGACTTTAAATGCTTGAGTTTATTTGCTTCTCTGATGAGGCAGATGGACTGTTAAAAACTGGGACCTGCATGGTTCAGAGGTCCCACTTCTGTACTGAAGGCAGGAGAAAATGCCACAGCTTAAATGTATGCATATTAGAAGCAACTGCTGCACTCCTGGCACAGTTTGGACATCACTGGAAAAATCGAACTAACATTTCATTTTTCAAAAAAAAAAAAAAAAAGAAAAATTCAAACAGGCTCGTGCCATATTTATCATATAGAGCTATTGGGGGTGGATTTATTCACTTGGCAACTTTAAGAAACTAGAAAAGAAAAACATATTTGAATAGACTACGTGTACTAAATGGAAAAAAAGCCCTTCGCTATAAATCTTAAAACAAGTTAGCCATCATCAACCACCTCATCCATTCATCTTTCCCTATATCCCTCTTAAAGTGTGTCTGGCTGCATTTTACTTATTAACCACAGTATATTCCCACTGCCTCAGTGACATTTTGCTATTGAAGGAAGTGCTAATCAGTTGGAGGCTCTGCTACTATTGCATGCAGCCGACAAGTTTCATAAAAGGAGCAGAGTGCAACAGACAGCCAACGATTTAAGCAAAATGGAAACAGGCCTGTCCAGTACCGAGTGAGACATTCTTCTGCCGGCAAGTCTGCGATCCAAGGCTCACTGCTTGACAGGCAGCAGCCAAGGTCTTATTTCACCCGCCACAGGACTGGAATCAATAATTTTGTTACTTTTGAAACAAGCTCTAACTAGCTTCTGATGTTTATACTGTACCTCAAAAAGGTAAATGGGGAAATTGTTCACACCTTCTCCAGTGGTATTTTGTTTCTAGACATTTTAAAATATTAGTTTTCGAAGGAAACTATGGTTCTATAAGGAACATGAAACCATAAAGCAAGAATGAATATCTGCAGGCTAGCACTTGAATGATCTTGATTACTGAACCAAAACTGTGAGACAGCTGTTCAATTCAGCAGGACAGCAAGGTATTTATGTATATAGAAATGACTACAGCATGAATAACAGAGCTGTCATGACCCTCATCAATTTCTTTGATGCAAAAATATTAAATATTTCTGAAAAAGTCTAAATCACTTAATTTGCAATAATGTTTCAATAATGAGAAATCAGGCTGGCTTTATACTTGCAGTTTATAAGAGCACAGACAGAATAATATATACGGCTATAAACTGTAAATCAGTGTCATATAAAATCTTCATATACCACTTATATAGTCTATCTAGTACCTGTATTATTAATTATTTGTCACATAGATTGACAATGAGTTATTAATGGATTAATTTAAAATTGTTCTAATTCAACAGATTATGTGGGCCTTAAAAACTGTAGAATATAAACTGAAGTCTGCAACATTCTGCAACATATTTATGGCAATATTACTGTCTTTAACTCTTTACATGTAATCTATAACTGCATATACATGTAATGCCTGGAAAAATCACTCTATGAGAAATGACAAGTTTGTAAATGATGGCACTGGAAGAAAAGCCGTTATAGTAGAATGTACTTTTTTCTAAGAAATACAGTAGAAATCATAAGTCTCAGTACTTTTTCTTGACTTTTATAAATTAATTTTAAACTGTTTGGTATTTACCAAAATGTGTATTATTTCTTCAGGTTTTTTATCATCTACGGGAATCCCATTGACTTCCCTCAATTCATCACCAACATGAATAAGCCCTACAGAAGAAAAAAAGAAGTTGTGAAACTGTATCTATGTATTACACAAAAACTGCCACTAACATTCATCTCGTTTCTCCCTTGTTCATCTACATTAAGCTCCAATTTTCACACACTTTAGCTCTAAGTTAAGAACAGGAATATATGGTGAACATAACAGCTACTGTCCTCAGACAAATTTGATAAGGTGGTTGGTTAATTCAGCTCCCTGTCTTCCTCCTAAAAACTAGTACCACCTTCTCTACAACTTTTCCAGACTTTCATGCAGATGTTTGAAAGACATCTGTGCCAATTCTTTTTCTACTCATACTACTTTCTTACTGCTACACAACTGCAAGTAGTGCAAAGAGCACTTAGGCTGAGAGTGCTAATTTGTGGCACAAATGCTTGCTAATCTATCTATCTGTCTATCTATCTATCTATCTATCTATCTATCTATCTATCTATCTATCTATCTATCTATCTATCTAGATTTACTCCAGTACTGCATCTAAGAGTGAATCACAGCTGTCCTAGATTTTCTTCAGTGAAAAGAGACATCTTAATGTATGATTTATGATTTCTTGCTTAAGTTTTTGCACACACTGAGCATCCCAAGGATGAGCTGTTATTTTGAGAACTACCAGCTGAAACTCCAAATGGATGCCCTAGTATAAAATAATGTCCTGTACCACTTCCATCAGCAGGTTGGCATATGCCATCATGGTGTGATTCTTAGGGTGTCTGGCACAGGGACAGGAGTAGGACTTGATGATCTTCATGGGTCCCTTCCAACTCAGCATATTCTATGATTTATAAATGGATGTCATCAACTGGAAACAAACCATGATACATAAAAACCCCTCTATATCCACTAACTCAAAGATACCTTGCTGCAACTGAATTGGGGAAAAACATCAGCATACCTTCAGCAGTATTGAAATATCACTTTAGAAAACTATTTAGAGCCCAAATACTTCTCTTTGTGATAGTGATGTATTTAATTTCTACAAAATATGCCATTTTATCTCATCTTGTTCTGAACTCTTGAATGCCTAGTGCCAAACAGCAACACATTACCACTTCTATCTGCAGCTCCTCCACGCATTATCCTGGCCACCACAATTGCACCAGTATGTTCATCTCTTTTAATAGTAGCTCCCTTGGGTAAAAAAAAAAAAAAAAAAAAGAAGGAAAAAAGAAAGTTATTTGGTTAATCATCATAATTTTAACACACTACACTAAAAAACATTTGCTACGAGAAACTGCAAAAAGCTGACATATTAATACATGGTTAAGGCAGAAATTATATTTGCTTATGAAAATAATACACAAAATATGTTGCTCTATTTATGTGCTCTTAAAATGTGTCTTCTTTTTCAATCAGAAGTAACTCATGCATTCTGTGAGTACACAGGTTTAAAGAAAAAAGGACAAGGATAGAAAAAGTGCTTTTCAATTTCACGGTAATTGCAATGTACCTTACTTGAGACCACTACTAAAATTGAACTAAACTCCTGCTGCATATTGATAAATTGTTGTTCCTACATTAAAACAGGCCATACTACCTGTACAGAAGGTATTTATTGCACTTTATGCTCACAACTGGTTATGCACTGTTTTCCTTTGCAATGTTATCAATAAACAAACACACATTTGAGAAGTGCCCCTGAATGCTGGGGATCACCTTGAACACTTACAGGACAGAAATGCAGAGGAAAGGAACATTTCCTGAGTTAGTCATGGCTGTTTTCATACACTACACACAGACAGCACAGGGCACTGAGGTAAAATGACATTGTGGAATTAAATTTCCAATGAACAGCTGTCTAGATCAGAAAAATGCCTTTGTAACAAGAACTGCGAGGGTGCACTGAAAACAGGCACAAGGTGATGGGGAAGCAGCAGGCAGCAGCAGTGCCAAGTGAGAAGGGACATGGAGGTGCAGAGCTGCTGCCCTGTTCTGGGAAACAGAACAACAGTGGGGATCTTAACTAGGTAAGTCATACTGCATAATCACCCCCAGAAAGGTTACTTCATCCAGTATTTTTAAAAAACAAGAGAAAAAAAAAAGCATGCCTTGTCCTTCAGGTTTTTAACTGCACATTTACTTTCCCACAGTAACCTAATTAATTACCTGCAATAGCTCTAACTTTGTTAATCAACAGTCCAATTAAGGACTCTGTCAGGCAAGTAAATTTTCTGAAGATTTCCATATTTTCAATTAGTGAATGAACAGTATTACTTCATCTCTGAGTAATACGTGCACTCTGCCATCACTGATTAAAATTTCCTTCTCTCAGAAAAGTGTGAAGTAAGGTACATAAGTACTTTTTAAGGAAGTTCCTTGAATAATTTAATGGCTTTTGTAGCTACCTTGCTATATTTGTTTAGAATAAACATGATCATCATATTTATCACTACTTAAATTTTTAAATGTTTTATGAACATAAAGCTGAAAATTGCACAAATATCAGAGCTGAGATTTTTCTACAGTTAGCAATTTCACTCACTGTAAATAAACTTGTTTCCCTCTACCTCTAAGATGGAAATATAGCACAAGTCACAAAGATAAAAAATGGGAGATTTATTTATATTTTTATATGCAAGTTGCATTTATTGCAAATAGAGAAAAATTAAAACAGCCATAATTCACTTTGGCTGAAACTTCAACAGCTGCCAACAGTCCAAAGCAAAACTGATGTGCTATGTTTGTGCATTTCATTTTACATTCTACATTTATTAGTATGAAATTCTATCTGTAAGTAAACTAATTCTGCAATTTTCCATCATTATTCTTATGGATTGTTTATTATGCAATTATATCAGCATGCACTTGTTTGCATTACAGTTTCAAATTGGTCTGAGAGTTTAAAAAATACAGATTTAGCTGCAGATAATCTCACTTCAAAAACTCATTACCAGACTTCTGTTCAAAAAGAATTGCATACCATTAGGAATATATTAAACAGCCTTAAGTCCTCTAGCTTATATCTCAATATTAAGTTCTGACCTTGCAGCAACAGCTACTAATTTGAAGTTTACAATAATACCTAGAATGTTTCACCAATTTTAAAGTAAAAAGAATTTTATTGGGTTTTTTTTCTGACTATGTCCATCAAAAAGAGAGAAAGCAGCATTAGGATGCTAGAGGCAAATATAAATACAGGACATTTCCACTATATTGTCCATACAAAACAGGCTCTTCTAATTAATCAAAGCAAGAGCCTTCATCAGGAAGGCTTTATGCCTTTTACCTAGAAGTCAACACCATGAAATGCCACTAAATTCAAAAGGCAAGCAATGACTGACAGGCCTACCCCAGCCCCATGCTGATGTCTGGAAAGTGGTACTTCACTTCACCAGGCTTTTTAGAAAGATGCTAGAAAAAAGCTTGTGTGCAACCAAAGACCACACTATTGACCCAGACAGCATCTGGAAGTAACAAAAAGGCCAAGTAGAACAGTCACTTCATGCTCTATGTGATTATCACTACTGGCACAAAATGAATTTTCCTAGTACAGATTAACTGATCTGAAAGATAGTCTCATGAAGATAGCAGGTATATTGGAATTTTCATACAAAGGACAAAAACAAGTTCAAAATGACAGTGAAATTTTTTAACCCAAGTTCTCTCACTGTCAGTATCTCCGCTGTGGCAAACCCAAAGTGAATGGGCAGTTCCATGAAAAACACTTCTTGATTTTATGTATTTGTACCTTTAGTACACAAATTAGAAAGGGGCTTCTATAAATTCCACTTTCCTTCCAATTTAGAACTTTCAAATCATCAAATACAAGTGGATTTCTTTTTGAAAACCTGAAGAGCTGATTTTCTGAAAAAGCAGCTTCTCCTATACTGCTGCCAGCCCTGCTTAAACTATAAGGTACATATAATCTGGCAAGAAATTCTCCTTATAAGATGTTCAGCTCCAGTACTTTCAGTTACATGTGCAGTGCAGCTCCTCATTTAGAGCTTTAAAAATGGAAGAAGGTTAGATTGGACCTTGAGAGCTGGAAAATATTTTCGGTGTTGTGAGCCAAAAGTGTAAGTTACCCTAAATGAGACATATACAGATGTAATAGCATAGCTCAGTTTAAAATACTTCTAAAGGGAAAAATATGGAGTTTGGGAGCCATATGGTGATCAGACTGAGAAAATGCTTAAAGGTATACCATACAAAAGCACTAAAAATAATACAAGCTCCTTCAGCAAGGCTCTTTCACTGTTTTTTAGTTGCTTTTCTTCTCCCCCCATTTTTAATGTAGTACCATTCATAGGTAAGCATTGCTCAGGGTTTCACAGATGTGAGCTTTATTAGTTCATCCATTTATCTGCTGGCTCCAAAATATAAACATTTTAAGTCTTCATTTTTAAAGGATGAAAAACTAGCCTGTAAAATAAATTGCTAATAAGAGAATTTGAAACATCAGTAATATTGTTGCATACCTCTCTGTTAAACAAAAGCACATGCAGATGATAAATGCAAATAATTACTTCAATAGACCTTATTTTAATTTATTCTCTATTAAAAGTGCAAATACAAGTATCAGTTATCTGCCTTACAGTGAGGAGTTATTTAGAAGTTGATGTCCACTTACGTGTAGACTACGTAGACTAAAGCTAATCCTACATCCAAATGAATCCCACCAAAAACCAGCTAGGTTCATCCACTACTGTGAACTGAGCTACAGGGACTAAGAGTGTGACAGCTGTTGCATCTGCATGGACAGAATGCATAAATGACTCCTTTAAATCACCAAAATTCATTTCAACCAGGTTCAGCTATAGAAATCAGGTACATAGTTCAATTTAGGTGTTCAGACTAGTTATGTAGCTCTGGAGAAGGAATTGCCTTTCATTAAGACAGGAATCTTAAACAATGGTATAGGTCATTCTCTGGAGGTGCTATTTTTCTCTTGACTATAGACATGGCATGGCATAGAGGTTAGTTTTCAAATGACCAGATCTATGTGAAATGAATTTTTGTGACAAAGAAGCAGCCATCTTAATGTGAAGAAGCATCCTATTCAGAGTAACAGCTGTAACAAACCTGGAGTATTGTGTTTGGAAGCTGGAAATAGTAGGCCAGGTATTGAACCCCTGGTAGCGTGGTTATTCATCTTGGATATCAGGAATGCTAACTAGGAACGGGGCTGTGGCTGAAAAAGCCTTGGAGAGGTAGGCATAAGTAAAAACTCTCCAAGCTCTCTGATAAAAAATCCAATCACGGGTGAATTTTGGATTGTCTCTGAAAAGAGATCTTTCTGCTTCTTTATGCAAGGTTCAGAGATGTTCCAAATTTCTTTGATAAAACAAAACACCCTAACACAATTGCTTGAGGGAGACACTGCTGAAATGGCATTGCTAACAGAGAATTAAGAAAACCCCAAACCCAATACTGTGGAAGGATTATAAAACATCTCTCTCAAAAAACTGGGGGAAAGTTCAGCACTGACTTCTGAATTGATGAAATCTGGCAAACAGAAGGCCCTCCTACAAACCATGTGTTTCTTTCTCTTTTGAAATGATTACTCCTGAGAACTCAGGCTTCATTAATATATGATTAACCCCGGCTAACAACATTGGTGAGGTGCTTAACTCAGAGAAAAGCACGAACAGGAGCACGAGAGGAAAAGTGGTGCAGTTTTCTATAAAAATGGCCACTAGGTATACTCCAAAGACTTTAAGAGAGTGCCTAATTGCTTCACAGTGAGTACTGTTGAAAGTCATCCAAAGGAAATGCAATTCAGAATGTCCAGGGTGTGCAACTGATGTAAAGCGTGTGGCTTTGCAGGAGAACAATCCCTACTGCTTGGGTACAAATAGAATACGAGCCTGTGTCTGGAGTGGAAGAAAAGTTCAAAGAGCTCAGAATTTTCAAGTCAAGAAACGAGATCATCTCTATCCCAGTAAAAATATTGTATAGTACCTCCAATCTCAAGCTCAGTTGCTTCTAAAAGTAGAATCCTGATATAATGCTGCAAGTGCAAGTCAGACTTTTTGGCTGGAGAAGAGTGAATCGATTAACAGAACAAGTAGAGACTCTTTGATCTCTACTAAGAATATCCAAGACTTCAGAAAAAGCTCTGAAGGAAAAGCCATTAAAAACACGTGGAAATAAATAGTAAATTAAGTTATAATTAGTTTAGCAAACACAGATCATGGTGTATCTTCCTTTAGTAACATAACTTTGGGAAGCATAAACACAGTAGATCTAATATACATAGTATAAGCCTGTCTTCAGTTATTCTACCATGCTATATTTTGGTAAGACTTTATCTGAATTACTGTCCATGTTTCTCCTCACACCTCCAAGGGGGGAAAAATCTAGAGAAGACAAAGACACAAATAATATGTTTTTTATGTATTGTAGTAATGGTGTCATAAGTCACTATAAACATGACACAAAGAAATTGATTTTTGATATGAACATGAATTATGTTAAAATGGATTGATGGTGTGTTATGGAAGAGGAGGAAGACACTATATTCTTTGAACTCTTCTTGGAGAACAAGTTAAAAGACTCACCATAAGTTCTTCTCTAACAAAAATAAAACATCAAGATAGGCTCAGGATCTGGAAAGATCACAAATATAGTTTTCCTACACAGATAAATAAAACCTTAGAAATGTTGAAGATTCCACATATCCGGTTAGTCAGCTCCAGTGCTGGACTTCCCAACTAATGGACTATTACTGTTAATTCTTAAGTCTAAACCTCCCAGGGTTGCATCTTGTGACCACTGCCCTGTGTTTTAGCATCTTTCACTGCTGAGGAGTTAGACTTTATTGTGAGCTCCCCACCCTCAAGTACTTGTACACTGCAATTAGTTCCCACCCTTTGCCTCTTCCTAATAAAAGGTCTACAACAGACTCCATTGTAAGGCTGTTTTCACTTTGGTAAATAAACAAAGCTGTCTTAAACTAAAGAAATTAGCCTGCTCACATGTTTTATATTTTCCATGGCTGCTGTGGTGTCTAGTAAAAGATCTAAAACCCCTTCTCTGTTACCTCTGTAACACAAGAGTTGTGCCAAATGTGGATTTAAGAGTGTCCAGGCTGGGATAGGGTAATTTCCTTCATGGTAGCTCCTATGGTGCTTTGTTTTAGATTTGTGATGAAAACAGTGTTGATAACACATGGATTGCTGAGCAATAGTGCTTAGCAAGTGCTTACACACTGTCAAGACTTTTCGCACATCACCCCACAAGTGAGGAGGCTGGGGATGCACAAGGAGGTGGGAGAGCCAGCAACTGGGAGAGCCAACCCCACCTGATCAGGGGGATATCCCACACCATGTGCTGTTATGCCCAGCAATAAAATCGGGGGAAGAAAAAGGAAGGAGGAATGTGTGGAGTGATGGTTTTTGTCTTCCCAAGAAATAATTACAAGTGATGGAACCCTGCTGTCCCAGGGATGGCTGAACACCTGCCTGCCCAGGGGAAGTGGTGAACTAATCCCTTACTTCACTTTGCTTGCATATGCAGCTTTTGCTTTACCTATTGAACTGTCTCAACCCACGAGTTTTCTCATGTTCATCCTTCCGATTCTCTCCCCCATCCCATTGGGGAAAATGAGTGAGTGGCTGTGTGGGGCCGAGCTGCAGGCTGGGCTTAAATACACACACAGGTATCTGGAAGAGCTTAGTGTCCCACCGGAGTGAGGAGGCAAGAGCGGAATTTGAGGAACAGTCCAAGTTTCTTTAGGAGAGTTTAAAATCTAAAAAGCGAATACACAATGTATATATTTTATAGAATTTTTCAGAAAATATCTGAGTTATGTTTTACAAGTTACTATGATCCAATCCATTCTGAGATACTATTAACTTATGGTATTGAACTCCTAAGTCTTGGTAACAAATCATGTTTGTAATATGAAACTATGTAAGTTAAGATTTTATTAAGCTTCTCCTGACAAATAAAAAAAAAGGTGTTATAATTAACACCAAAAATATGCTCCTCAATTAGACTTCATTTCATATTGTATCTTCAAATCTCCACATACCTTTCAGAAGGAATAATCTTTCTGACACTAAATCCTAAAGCAAGCTTCTTTTCTTTCTCAAATAATGTCTTTGATAAAAATATACAAAAAGCTTAAAGCTGTTATTCAAATATTTGAGGAAAAAATATCTAGTGTGTTAAAACAAAGTAAGAACTTTCCATATGGTCAAACTTGTAATTATGCCCATGGGCACCTACAGTCAGTCAATAAGAAAACTCATTTCTTGTTTATTGATGCCAGAAATCCATCAAGAATTAGAGTGATAGTAAGATATCTACTGTGGGACAAACTACCCCAACATGTCTAACAGAAGCCATACTCTCCCACTGTCATCCCAAGTACAGAATGATGACTTTCTCAAAGCAAGTTTGCAGGTATTTCTCCAGGATTGCTGTCCATTAAAACAAATATTCAGTATAACATAAAACAAAGCTCTTACTGGTTTGCAGGACAAAAAGAACATAGTTAAATTTTATACAAGATGACTCCCACTCTACAGCAAATAAAAAGAACCAAATCAGGAAAGCATTTTAATATTCTTGTAATACAATCTAGGTTTAGTCCTTTCATTTTTCCAGATATCCCCATGAAGATATTAACTTTCTAGTATTCATAATGCAAAGTACAACAACAGACATTTTAAATTTGCCCAGATTTCAATTCAAGTATTTTAAAATATGTTTTCATGCTTTCTTTTCAGTGTATTGAAAGGTCATGTTTTTTTACATGAATGCTAACAGGCACAGTTCACAACACAGGTCAAGATTTCTTTGGGGATTCATTCTCTGTCTCACATTTTAAAGTAAGTTCATGATTTGAATTCAAGATAAAAGACAAATATATATTTGATCTAAATGCCCAGACTGGCCCACATATATAATACTTAAACACTAAGATGATCATTCATTGATGATGGTTATTCATTTCATATGCTTTACTAATAATGACTGTGAATAGAAGTCACAAGTGAATTACTTCACGTTATGAACAATCATGTGTAATGTCTGTCTATCCACGTTTCAAGTTAATATCACCCACTCACATTCACAATCTGAGCACTGCTCACCCTGCACACAATCACAAAACCCCAAACCAAAAGACAGGGTTACCTACCAATGGTTCCCGGTTTTTGACGAGCCTAATTATTTTAACTGAATCCTCTTCCTCATCAATATCATCAGGCATGGGGGGCAAGACAGGATCATAGTTCTTCTGAGCAACAGTATCATGTACAGACAGCAAAGCCTGGAAACATTAAAAGTCAGTATATATTATTTGGCACCTGGAAAGTTTAGGGAAGGAAAAGCAGAGGATATTATTCATACCCTGACTCTACTATCGTGTTGCAAGTAGATTGACTATAATTCTTGTACACAATTTTAGCTCATTTCAAACTGATGAAACAACTCCACAAAGAATATGTTTCCATATATATAATGTATGCAAGTAGCAAATTGTGGATGGAGAACTGTGTGTTCATACACACAAAAACACCACGTGCTTTGCATGCTAGCTTGAAATTACAGGAACTATGAACAGGAGAAAACTATAGGGCCCAAAAGTAAGTAAATAATGATACTTGCAGTAAGTAAAAAGTTTATTTGATACAGTAGGCAGTCCTATGAAACAAATAAACAAAATAAGCACTTTCCAAGATTTCTGTTCAAGCACAAGATGGATGAAGCTGTTGCCCAACCACTCCCTTCACAAGAGCTCTAAAAGCTTACCTGGTTACTGGATACCTTTTGTGTGAGCCTCAAATTATCTTAGGAATTTTTAATTTATTATGGAATTCAGAACTGAGATTGAGGAATACACTACTGAAGCAATTTGGTTTAGGCAGGTGCTTATCAACCACCTGTTGCATGTCTTTCTTGCCTCGTTTCCTTCTCTATTGCTTCTCCAGTTCATGCTTAGCTTGAAAAATATATTTTTCAAAGAAAAGCCCAACAAAGACTGACAAAAGATTCCATCTTAAAAAGAAAATAATTTATGAACTTTCAGGAAATAAGAATCTTGATGGCAAAAGAAATTAGAAAGCTCATTCTCCTAGGGCTCAAAAAACCCCTCAGTGCTAACACAAAATTCACAGTTTTTCTAGATACAGACCTCCTGAAGTTCTTTTGTATTTTGAAAAGTCTTAATTGTTTGTAATACCCTGTACACTGGTAAAAAATGGTTAAGTAATGCTTTAGCTTTTGCAGTGAAAACTGTACCTTGTACCACAAATAACAGGAACAGCCGTATGTATAATCCTATCTACTGCTTTGTTGCTTCTGTTTTCAGGTAGTTTCCTGTAAATACGTGACTATTTAAGAGCCTTTCTTAAAAAGGGACAGAAAATGGCTACATTTCTCTGATGCTAGTTTCCTTGCTACTTAGTAATAGATGGCTAGAATTTGACTGAGTACATGAATGACCAGAAACCCTCTGTTCTCAATGATAATACAACTGCTTTAAAAAAGCATTAAGCTTCCATTTTTTTTGATTCATGAAGGAAACTTTTAACAACAAAAAACAATTTCCAGGCAATGCTACAAGCTACCATGTCAAAAGCTAAAGGCAAAGAGCATACAGTAATCTTCAAATTCTGAAGTGTAAATTTAAACTTAGGGCTTCAACAAAACAAATACACAGGAAGATCATGCCTGCTTCGCGATAAATTACTATTGTTCTACCAATCTTTATGTACATTGTACAATTTAATAAAAACACTTCAACACACTAATTATTTCTGGTTTTCTTCCCAATACAAAGTTATGAATTTATACTACTTACCATCAGAAATTACCATCTCCCTCAGACAACGATCAGTTTTACTTTAGATCTGAGCTAAAAACCTCAGGCTAGCAATTATGGATCCTCCTGGAAATGTTTATTGTGATGCATTACATATGTAAAAGCCATGCAATCACATGCAGTCCTCTAAGATGTATGTGAAATATCAAATATACACTAAAACAAAAGTAGTGTTTGCTTTTACTTCAGGCTACTTACAGTTAAGACTTCTAAAACTAGTCTTCTGCAATTACATTTTTCCACATAAAGCTAAGGCACATTCATGGACTGGTCCAATTTAATGAGGTTCTATATTGCAGTTTAAAAACAATCAGGCAAATAGAGAAAACAGATGAAAACAATATAAAGCACCATTTCCAGTTCCATTTTGAACTTAAACATGTTCAAAAGGACCTACCCTTGACAATGAAACTTGCAAAACCAATTCTGTCCCCTTCTACACTGAATTATGCCAGCAGTGTTAATAAGACACTTCCCTGCTCTGACTGCCAGATCAGGCTCCTGGACACCACATACAGAACAATGACGCATTTCAAGTGCTACAAACCAATATCAGTCAGTGCCTGGTATTTGTGATGCTTTTCTTCACATCAACCTCACAACAACTAGACTCATCAACCCGTTAATTTCTTCTCCCAGTTAGCAATATAAAACTAACTACAGTTAGGAATATAAAATCTTTTCCTCAAACTCCAGCACTACTTTATCTCAGTGCAAAGACACGTATTTCAGATAAGAGCAGGAATGCCAGAAATTATGCATCTTTTCTCAGTCAAGCTTTCAGAAGAGCTTCTGTCATCACAAACTTGTTTATGATGTACAGTGAACATGCTAAGATTTCTTTCCTTCTTGTCTTCTATTGCTGCTTCTTTTAACTACTCTCTGTCCACTGTAGTTGCTCTGAAATAGTCATCAGGACAGACTTTGGATAATAACTAATTTGCAAACAAAACTTAAAAAGCCATGTTGATTTCACTTAACGTGTTCAACTGCAAGTGATCAGCCTGTCCTCGAGAGCACTTCCGTATGTTTTCAACGCAAGAAGAAATGCACAGATCATCAGCAGAATCTTTGTACCATTAAATTAATATAGTCTAAAAAACTATGTATCAGACTAGATGTGTATAGAGAAGGTTGGGACTTTATTTTAAAATAAACAAATTGCAAGTGCCAAGAAATAAAACTTGGATGTTAAGATGAGAAAGACTTATCCAGAATAATTGTGCAGCAAATGTACAAGGCAATGTAAAGATAGCAATGTTCTCTTTTTGTATATAAGAAGTGAATAACTGATTCATTTCCATGACACTAATTTTTTAATTCTCACAGGACAGTGCAAGAAGGGCATACCAGTTTTTTTTTCAATGCCTTGGCTTTGTTTTCAAATGCACAGCTCTTCTGAACTATGTACATAGGATCCGAGATTTGGGTCATGTATATTTAAGCACCTCTGGAGAAAAAGATTTTATTTCAGCTCTAAGTTCTATGCTTATGATTCACTAATGTAAACATGGTCCGTATTTAGAACTTGAAAGAAGGTATGATTCAAACTCCTGCACTACCTAAATATAAATATTGATGTTCAGCTAAATTCTTAGACATGATCTAGCTGGAAATGAATACTTTCATCGGACCTTTGAAATGTCTAATAAGTAGTGCTGTATTTTTCATATTAAAACTATCACTGATCATTTCACAGTTTATAAATTGAAATTTTACACTATCAACTTACATGAAGAAAATCTGACATTGGAAATGTTGTAAGTTCTTTTTCTTAAACTGTTCTGAAACTTCAAATGTTTATTTAAATTGAGAATGTTATTAATGAAAACAGCTCTACATTTCAAAGAATGTGTATCACTTAACTAGACTAATTACATTTTTTCTCTTATAAAACAATGACAAATTTCATACTCTTTTTTGCTTCTCTTTAGATTTTGAGATCTGTAAGAGTAAAAATACAGCAGTAGTCCGATTCATAAATACAGCTCCTTATGTTTTTTAATTCTCATCATTTAAAAAAAACTCCATCTAAACTTTATTTTTCATAGATACTTTGCATTTAGTAGTCTAGAAAAGCACTTTAGAAAATTGTAAGTTTAAGAAGTGAAACAGAATGGGTGAAGAAACAAAAGCAGCCTCTTTCTTAATAGTTCTTGGGAAAAAACATTATTAGAAATTTAAATAGTGACTAGTCACCAACAGAAACTTTGTAGCGACTCAAACCATCCTTGAGGAGAGCCAAGAGCTGCCCCAGGAGTGCGAGGCTGCCAGCCCAGTGGCTGGCAACCCTGCCTGTGGAGCACATTACTGCCCTGGCTGCACAGTCAGCAAAATGGAACAAAATGGCCCGTGACTGGGCTGTCCCTGTGCACAGCTTGGATCATTAGCACCAGCCACCTTCTCTGGCAGTTCAGCTTGAACTCCATCAGGTGAGACACAGACATTATCCCACCTCTTTGCTTTGCCATGCTGCCAGGAACTGCCACTGAGCCTGGCATAGAAAAGTTTCACTTGAGGAGAAAAGTAACTTTATCAGCAACCACAGCAATGTGCCCCTGAACTCATGTGGCAGAGCTCATCCTCCAGAGAGCTCTACCATATTATGCTTTCCTTTGAGATAAAGTTACAGAATAAATTAAAAAAGGATGAAAATGTTGGTGGAGAAAATTACTCAAGATTGGCAAGTTTAATTTACGAGTAACTTGCAGAAAATTAGAATAATGTGAGTGATGTCATCCAGCAAAAAAACACCAAAGAAGAAAAGCTGAAAGAGCTGGGAGAAGACTGAACCACTGAAGGAAAGACCATCAAGAGCATGAGAATGGAAGGAGAAGCACTGAAGTCATAAAAGCCAAACATGTGCAAGAATTTACACAACAGTAGAATAAAGCAGCAGAAAGCTGAAGCACTAATGGTGATGGCATACAGACTCTAGCTACTGTGTGCTAAAGCAGCCATGAAAAATCAACAGCACGTGTCACTCTCTTTCCCACCAACCATGCCTGCCAAGGGACTATGTACCTGCTAAGGGACTATCTGCAACTTTAACCCTGATGCAAGATAACAAAAAGGCAGGTGAAAACAAGCATCTCAATCAGCAGATAAGAACAATCACATTAGCTGAACTCTCCATCTCTGCTAAAGCATGAAGTATAATCCAGAAGCAGAAGCAAGCAATAAAACTACAGGCAGGAGAAACTCCATTGTGCTGCTGAAGAGGCCAGAGGATGGCTAGAGTAAGAGCAAAAAATATTTTTTACAAGCTACAGTAATCACATATCAAGCAGAATAGTATTATTCTTTCCGATGCTGCACTCATCTAATCACTTTGCAAGAGAAATCTGGAATTTTCTGTTCTGTACAAAATTCTCAAGTTAAATATATGGAGTACATAATGTTAAAGAAATCAGTTAACTTCCAGTTAAATCAGTTTGCTTCTGCCA